TTTTTCTAACGCTCTGATGGAGCAGTTAAAATTAAGAGAGCCCTTATTCAATAAATTACGGGCTACGGAAACCTTAGCAACTCATTTCGTCTTGGTTGCACTTCTTTTTTGCTTCAATAAACGCTCATAACTCCAAGTCCATAACCGTACCGCAGGTAAGAAAATCAGATTTAGAACCAGCATTCTACGCTCTCTATTACGGTATACATTCCACCCTAAAAATGCCACTTTGAATTAACATGGTTTCCTCATGAGCAATCCAACTCATTTACAGTACAGCGCCGAAAGGAAGACGACAAGGCGACAGCAACCAAAAGGAAATGAGTTGCTAATTTCCTTAGCCCGTAGTTCATTGAATGAGGCCTCTATTAATTTTAGCTGCTCCATCAAAGCGTTAGAAAAAATACTACGGCAATTTTCGTCCTATGCATATGAATTTTTTTGCTCTAATGAAAGTTCGTAACTTCTCGTTCATTTACAGTACAGCGCCGAAAAGAAGAGAAAAAAGACGAAAATGCATGGTTTCCAACTACGCAAGAGCTACTTTCTGACAACACACCGATCACGGAGAGGACGGTAAACTCATACAGTTTGCTATGCTGCCTCTTTGCGCCATTTACATTGTGATACGCCTCGATCGCCTCGTAATCGAATGACATAAAAAGCCCCAATATTGCATCCGTTCCACATCCACATGGAGATTTTCACTGAAGCTTTTTCCCCTAAGCGTGGATATTGTACGATCGCTACTTATCATATCATGCAGGGAAACAGCACACGTCCAACAAAAAAATCCACCGATGAAGAGAGAAAGAAAACAATAGAATCCAGAAGTAATGAAAGATAAAAGAAGTGACGGGAAAACAAAACACAAGTACCTCCTCTTCTATCTTGAGCTTCCGCAATAGCACTAACTTGGCTCCATTCCAAGATAGCAAAGCCACGCAGTTCGGATGGATATTTGGTTTTTCGCTATTCAAACCAACCACGATTTCGAATCCTCCATCTAGAGAACACGGATATGAAGCAACAAACACAACGAAAAGCGACGTACCCGTGCTGCGAAGGTAATCTACATCCTGCACCACAAGATCTTCACCAAAAATGAACGGTGCCTGCATTCCTCCATCGCGTAGTTGCCTTATTACTAGAGAGTTTCCGCAGTACAACGCGATCAGCTTTGTAAATTCTCCTAAAACCGAGAGATAATATCGTTATACTCATAAAAGGAAGAGGTCTCACCTGTGCAATCCATCAGATGTTTCACGGTGAGGTCACCATCGTCTTGTGTATGTATGAGTTTAGCATATTCTATCTCAAACCCGTCATTTGAAGGGAAGAACTTCTGCTTCAAAGGATCTGGCACCCGTTCTGGGGCCCTCATTTTCTGTAAAGTTCTCTTAAGTGAGCAAAAGGAGATACAAGTACTGAGCGACCAGCAAATTGTCTCAAGGAAGAATCGAATGAGAAGAAGAAGAGAACAGCAAGATGTGATAACATTCAAATTCATTGCAAAAGCGAGAAAAACAGGATACCATAATCAGAACCTCAAGATGCATAAGAAAAAGAAAGCAACAGCGTTTACAACGTTAATCAAAGGCGAGGTTTTCGCTCAATCATTGGATAACCAAAAAACATCACACACAATAATCATATAGCAGACTCGTAATGCTAACAACGAACGCAAACAAAGCAAAAAACAAAACATCAAAATTCGTGGAATTCGCGGCTACCGCACCGCAGCCGCAGCGCCTCAGAGTACCGGTCTGAGTGTCGAATTAGGGCACGGAATCCGTAGTCGATCATTTGTGAATTGTTCAGCTATAGATTGCTTGAGTCATCAAGTCAGTGCCAGCTGCATGCTTCACATTCTTTTTCACTTTCACTTTGTTACTAATAGCTGTTTCGAAGTTATCGCAGAGGCTTGCTTGCTGTCAGTGTAAAATTCCTTGTTATCTTTTCAAGATTTAAAATGCTCGTGTTCGATAATCCGCGCAGAAGAAAGCTCTTTCTTTTTATAAGCCTAATGTTTGAAGTCCAGATACGCTGACGATATGCC